AAAAAAAAAAAAAAAAAAAAAAAACTTCCAGGCTCGGCATGGTCACAGACACTGGGTGTTCCGTGGACAGTCCCCAACGCAGACTCAAGCACTCCCTGAACAAGTGTGCACTCCAGTGGGGCTGAGGATTCAGAACGGCCAGGGACACAGGTCCTACCAGCCTGGTGCATGTGTGGGACCTGCCTAAGTCGCAGGACTGACTCTGGCCTTGTTGCTGTCTGCATGGGAAGCCACGCAAAAGTGCAAGGTGTGGCCTTAGGCAGGTTGACTTCCCAGCTGTGTGACAAGGGACTGGCCTTGAGCTTCTCTGAGCCTCAGACACATCACAAGACCGGAAGAGAGCCAACCCTGCCGTAGAGAGCTGTCATAAGGGCCCACCCGGTCACTCCCAGGAGAGCAGAATTTGTTTCTGAGAGGGACAGAACTATTTATACCCTGTGCGTAAATCGCAGCTCCATGAATAGTTCCTACACAAACACACAGTGCGCCTCTGAGGCGGAAATGTCATGGGAGGGGCTGCTGGGAAGAAATTTGTCTAAAGTTTTCTCACAGGAGCCGATAAGGCAAAACATTCAGGAAACACTCAGGTCGGAAGTGGAAGACAGTTCCTGGGACATAAAATGTGGCTTATACTAGGTAATGTTCGCCGCTTTATTGTTTCTGACAGCAGGTGTCAGAGGAGCAATTAAGAACTCGGGCAAGGGAGCCATGCTGCTGGGGTCTAGCCCCTGGCTCTGCCAGCTTCCAGCTCTGTGACCTTGGGCAAGTAGGTTGACTTCTCTGTGCCTGCCTGTTCCCATTTGTACACAGAGCTAATCAGGACACCTGTCTTGTGCGCTTGTCAGTAGATTAGCTGAGCTGACTTGTGTAGTGCGTGTAGTTCAGCACACTCAAGTATGGTGACTGTTACGTGTTCCTGAAATGATTGATTATGACAGGCACAGGGACTTGGGAGCCAGTGGTCCAGTCACCAGCGCTGTCCTTGGCACTGGGGGAGCAGTGGGCTGGCGGCTGGGTGGGAGCAGAAGTCAGTAGGTGGAGCACACTGCTGCACACCCTGGGCCCATAGAGAGCCAGCAAAGGCCCGGGCCAAATCCTGGCTTCACAGCCACCATGTGCTGGGAGCCAGGGTAACCATCCCATCTTCAGCCACAGCCCCTGTGCCCCGCCTTGAGGCTCCCAGGCAGGTGCAAAGCCCTCGTTCTCCTGATCTGGACACCAGAGCCAGGTGGAGACTCACCCTCTGAGGAGAACAAGATCTTCCAAGGCCTGTGCACCCCCTCTGCCTCCCTCCACTCATGCTGGCCACCAGCTGCTCCCAAAACCGCAGGCGTCCTGCACACATGCAACTGTCTCCATAGCTAGGTCCTTCTCATCCTTCCCATCCCTAGCTCACCTCATCTCCTGTCCATCCTTTGTCTTCTCCTCACCACAGACAACTATTATGTGTGTGTCGTCCTCTCCCTGGGTCGGATCATAAGCTCCACAGGGCAAAGGCTCTATCTATCTTGTGCCTCTGGTCCAGGACTGCAGGGAGAACCTCCACACTTCCTTGTTGTGGAAACAAAGCCCTAGGACTCTTCACTATCCTCCCTGGCCATTTGTCCAGGCACTGTTCCATTTTGCAGATGAAAACATTGAGAGCAGACTTCCCTATGTGTACAACACCTCTGGGAAGCTTCCAGAATCTTCTCCCAGGTCTCAGAGAAGTAGGTCACAAGAACAGGAAGACATACGGACACTGGCTTTTACATTTCTCTTCCAGAGTGCTTCTTACAAGTTCCCTGTTGCCTCTGGATATGCACACAGGATTGTGGAAGGACCTCGAATTTGATTAGGTAGAAAGAGGTGGGTAAACAGGACAGGTGTCACTAATCAGAGCTGATGTGTGGACACAGATGCTGAGGGAGCAGGCTCTTTGAGGGCAGTGCTCATCCATGGAACTTCCCTCTTCCCTGGTGAGTACCTTGGGAATTGGGGGCACCAGGTCCCATGGCCAGACACAGTCCATGCCCCTGGGGCCACAGATACCAATCATCCTGGGGTTTGGTCCTGCTCTGAGCCCCCAGATGTAGGTACTGACGGGCAGAAGTTGGGGCCCTGGCCACTGGTGATTGCTGGCCTGTCTCCAGGCCATGTGGGGGTGACAAGCATGCACTGGTGGGGCCTGACCGCTCCTGGTCCCAGCACTGGACAGAAGTCCCTGTAGGGCCCATCTGATGTCCTTCTGTTGGGCTGAAGGGCAAAGATGCTGATGCCACGGCAGCACTGTGCCCACTGCCCAGTGGCAGACATATCCTGGCCCAGTCCTGTGTGCAAAGGTGATCATTGGCATGTAGAGTCCCTGAGGTGGTGTAACAGCAAATGGTCCCCTAGCCAGTATACTTCATTTCTTAGTTGCCCAGGTAACAGTTCCAGTTGCAGTTCTGGTTGCTCCTGGTCCTTAGAAATGGCTGGTCACTGTGATGCACACTGTACAACCCAATCCCCAACTGACAAGCCATTCTGCCTCTGCACTTCCTGCTTGCTTGTCCCATATCAGCCCCACACCACCAGAGATCAGGGCCTGACATTTTGGGGAACAATTGATTCCTAGTCAGTGCCCATCCGACGTTAAGTGAATCTGCCTCCAAATCCTGGGTGTCATTCCGGTGTTTCTGCTTGCCATTGCAGTGGAACAGCATGGGGGACCGACGACAGAGGTGGCTGAGTCCCCTCACAGGCCGGGTTGTACGCTCCAGCTCCTCTGAAGAAAGAAACCCCTGGCCCAGTGCCCGTCCCGCTTCCTGGGAGCCACCTCTGCTTTTGTAGTCATTGCAGTGTGTCCACACTGCCTATTCTTCCCCCAGGGCCACCTGCCAAGGTAAATGTTTGTATTGTTTTAAAAACCTACATTGTGTCAGTGTGGGAACTCTGGTGTCCAGAGCCTTTTCTTACCTTTGCAGGTGGGGCTGAGTGGGAAGCTGAATGGGTTGTTTTTTTTGTTTTGTTTTTTTTTAGTTTATCTCTATTGCTTCGGTGTGAGACTCATGGGCTGGTATGGGCTTCTACACAGCACAGTTGGACTAGTTACACTCAGGGCTTTGTTTGCCCCTCTGAGGATCACAGTCTCTAGTCATTTCCTTCAAAGAAGCAAAGAGGAAAAGGGAGAGACGGAGGAAGAAAGTGGAGGTGGGAGCTTGTGGGAGCTTGTGGGGGCAGGGACTCCCCCGTCCTCCCAGCTGGACACGTGTGGACAGGGCCTCCTGTCATATATGTGCTCCTGTGTGGCTTCTTTCACGTGGCGTAACTTTTCGAGGCTCTTCCATGTTGTAACGTCAGATAGAGCTCCATTTCTGTTTGTGCTGAACGCTATCGTGTCATCTGGAAAGACCACATTTGCTTAAGCAGTCGTCAGAGGGTGGACATTTGGGTTGCGTCTACTTTTGTGCCGTTAGGGTTAATGGTGCTAGGAACATACACCGGCAATTTCTTGGGTGGACCTGTTCTCCTTTCTTTTGGGTAGACGCCTGGGAGTGGAATGGCTAGATCTTTGGTGACCTGTTTCACTGTGTAGGGACTTGGCCAACCCTTTTTCAAAATAGCTTCCATCAACAGGGTAGGAGGCCTCTCATTTCTCCATCTCTTGCCAAAACTTGTTATTACCTGTTTGATTCTAGCCACCCTGGTGCGTGTGACATGGCTTCTCACTGGGGTTTCAATTTATCCAGCACTGTTACTATCTTGCCTCCTCCTCCACCAATGAGCAGAGCGCATTTCCTGCCCTGCCCTCCGCACCCCGGCACTGCTTCTCTCAAGGTGGTTAGGACTTGCAGCTCAGCTGGAACTTTGAGGCTTGGAGACGGCCTGCAGGTGGACCGGACGATGTCTTCTTGCTGTTTGTCAGCCACCCGCCAGGCCTTCAGCAAGGCGCTGTGGAGCATGTGCTCGGTTTCGGGAGGCGGGGTGGTAGCAGGAGCGGCCCTCACCTCACAAGACACACTGGCACCAATGCCTAATTGGCCGCAGGTGCTCGGAGAGCGGCAGAAACACATCATAGGCTCAGGGTCCTTTGAAAAAGATTCTGAAGGACAAGAATGTTGCAAAAAATGGGGATCAGAGACTCGGCGTCCTTCCTTCTTTCACTTATTGGTTTTTTGGGGTTTTTTTTTTTTTTGTCTTTTTGAGACAGGGTCTCCTTATGCAGTTCAGGCTGGCCTTGAGCTCACTTTGTAGTCCAGGTTCATCTTGAGCTTGCAAGGATCCTCTTGCCTCAGCCTCCCGAGTGCTGGGATTACAGGCATGCGCCACCACACCCGGCTCACTTATTGTTTATTGGTCATCATTTGTGCGTGGGGCATTGTGTGCATCTGCCCAAGCCACAGAGGTGTGGTCAGCACCCTCTGCTTTTCTGTCCTGGCAGGGAGGATCTGGTACAGCCTGGTTGAGAATGTGATGGGGTCCCTCCCGCTGTGTGAGCTGTCCCTGAGTGGTGGCATGGCCGTGTCTACAAAGATGCCATACAAATCACGGAGACGAGTGCAGCGGACATTTGTGACCAACTGGACACACACAAGCAGCTGGCAGCACCTCTGGAACTATTAAACACAAACGCCCACGCGGTGAGCTCCTAATTACTCCTGCGTCTCACTTGCACAGACAGTCCCCTGCTGGGCCCAGTCAAGTCCGTCCCAGCTACGGGGCACACCGAAGCTGTGAGGACCCCGGTGTTCTCTGTGTTGGTGATATAGGTGACCCTCTCCTCCCCTGGTGTCAGACTGGTATTCGATGGGCCTCCAGCTTCCCTACAACACACACTGACAGGAGGCAAATGTGTTCAAGGTCTCCTCCCTGTCCCCCTCTAGTTCAGGGCTGGAATGTAGAACGTGGGGGTTGCGTCCCACCCCTAGGAGACTCAGTTTGGATAAAGCTCATCTTTCTACCCGTGGTCCTCATGTGGGTTCTGGCCAAACGCCACCTTTCCACAAAGTGCTACTGTGACACACAGGCCTCCCCTCTTCTCCCTCAGCCCCCTTGTGGGCCCTTTGTCTTTCTGGTTTTCCTTTTGTCTGTTATCTGGGTATTTGGCATATCCATTTCCATTAGGACTCCTCGGTAAAAAGTGAGTTTGTTTACTTTGTGTTGCGGGGGGAGGGGGAGTGTGGAGCCCTTTCTTCTCTCTTATTCCACAACTACAGCTGCTAGGTTTTAGAAAATGGCACCTTGAACAAATCAGCAAAGAAAACACTCCTGGCGGTGGAGATAGACGAAAATGCAGGCCACCGTAGGGGTTCTGCGGCCTCTGAGCTGCCGGCCCAGCGGGGGAGGTGGCAGCTAATTGTATTTCAGGTTCCATCTGAGCCTCGGCATGTCCGCTGGGATTTGAGACAATGGCTGGCTGGTGTCCCCTGCTGTGCCTTGTCTTCCCTGCCCTGGGGTGCTGGGGGTTGGGCCAAGCCACGCCTGCGTTTTCACGGATCGCATAGGGGTATCCACCTTGGAGGCCAGACAAGCCCCCCCAAGTTTGGGCTCCCACAAGCTTTGAGGTTAATGTCAAGAGCAGCCACAGGGCCCACTTGCCTGGGCTCAAATGTAGCCAGAGAGAGGCAGAGGCAGAGACGTGGGGGCACCTAGGGAGAAGCACCCTAAAAGGAATAAAGACCCAGGGCAAAGCACAGAGGTATGTCCCAGATGTCAGTTCACCCCAAGGGCAGAGGCAGCTTCCGAAGCAGCCTAACCCACCCCATCGTGCGAATAGCTCAGGACCCCCCTTATGCCCCCTCAGAGCTGAGATCAGAGGGAGCACAGCGTGTCCTAGTCCTGAAGGGTGGAAACGTGTGAGGTCAGCTGTGGCCAGAGACTCACAGCCTCTCAGCAGGGGTCGCAGCCCTCGGTCCCTCACACAGCTGGTGTCCACTGTGTCCTGCCTGTCATCCTTGGGCCATGTGCCCACGGGGCACAGTCCCGTCTCACTCCGAAGGCCTGGAACCCAGCAGGTGGCTGGCACAGGCCGTGTTCAGTGAGGCAGAACTGTGCCCGTATTCCTGCCCCTTCCCTAACTAAATGGCATCAAAACATGTTTAATCATCCAGCAACTATTTTCATTCGATATTTATTGACTCCTGCCACTCACTGGGGCAGCACTGGCCCAGATATGCCATAGAGACCAAGTCCCAGTCCCGCCCCCTTGAGGCTGTCTGTCTGGTAGAGGAAACACACGCAGTAAGAGAACTGCACAGTAAACATATAATTATAAATGTGTGACGAGCCGTGAAAGAAAAGAAAACAATGTGATGAGAGGTAATAGCAAAGCCCACTTATTTCAGACAAGGTGGTAGGAGACGTCCAAATTTTTACTGCAAGAGGAGTAACAATAATAATTTTTGATTGCTTAAAGTGAGTGTGGTACGCACTTTATGAATTTGGACCTCATGGGGATTGACCGATTCGATGCTGGTGTGTTAGTCAGCTTTCTGTCACTGTCACCAAATACCTGAGAAACACAAGAAAGATTTATCTGGGGCTCATGGTTTCAGCGGTTTTAGGCCCCATGCAGCTGACTCCATCGTTTCCGGGCCCGTGGGGAGGCGGAAATATTATGGCTGAAGCATCTCTGGGACCAGAGAAAGCAGAGAGGGACAGAGGCGGGGACGGGGGACCAAATTTAGCCTTCAAGCCCACCCCCACTGAGCTACTTCCCCCAGCCTCCTAGAGTTTCCTCCACCTGCAGTACCACCATCAGCCGGAGATCAGGCTTTTAACACTCGAGTCCTTGGCGGACGTTTGAGATCCGAACTGTAACAGCTGGCAGCAGCTGCATGAGAAAGCACTGTGGTCATCTCCGTTTTGCAGGCCTGGGCCACACCAGCATCCCTCAGGCCCCTACTGAAACAAAGACATTGCCAGGGGACACAGAGAGCAGCCGTGGTCCCGAGCCACTTTGGATAGGTGTGGAAACGGCGGCCTCTGCACTCATTTCGCTTTGGTTGGGGACAATGAAATGTGTCAGCAAGCATGTGGGAATGCCACAAATCTCAGAGCCAGAAGGCCCCGCCTTGACCTCCAGCAGAGACCCTGCCCCGGAGCTGGTGCCTGCAGCTCCACGCCCGACACACACCAGCATCCCAGGGCGGGGGGACACAGATACAGGGCACACTTGGTAGCCAAGATCAGACAAAAGCTGCGGCCTGGGAGGCAGCTGCTGCTGACATCTGGAACCCACCGTCTGCTTCTCTCAGTGGAGAAGTATGCTGGGCTTGGGTGTCTGCTTTTTGGATGCTTTCCTCTCCCCTAGCTCTGCACTCAGAGGATTAAACAGATTGGAGGAAGCAGCCTAATAGCGTCTTGGTGACAGCCCAATTTTCTTTCCTTTTGGAAGGGCCCTCATGTCTCTCATGCCCAGCTCCCTCCTCCCCAGAGCACTGCTCTGAGCCTCTTCGCTGCCCTCCAAGGCCGCTTCCTTCTCAGCAGGCCTGATGCCACAGCCTCCCCCAGCCAGTCTGGGCCACAGGCTCAGTACAGTGCCCCGACCAGGGGAGGCTCCGACCATGTGTCCCAAGAAAGGACACATGGGGATGAGGCCACAGGCAGCCCAGCGAAACCCAGGCATGGGGAGGCCCTGACGTCCACCTCCATCCAGCCCTGCCCAGGAAAGCCCGCTGGCAGCTCCAATTGAGCCCAGAAAGCTGGAATTGAACACCTGGTTTTGCCTGGGCTCCTGTAGTTCACCACTCCTTGGTTTCCTTTCCCCCTTCTGAGCTGAAGATCAGTGGAACATCTTGGAGTGAGAGCTGGGAGAGTGTGGCTGGGGGTTGCCGGTGGGGTCAGGGTTAGGGTTTGGGTTAGAACGGAGTTAGGCTGGACTGAGTTGGGGTCAGAGCTGCTGGGTTCAGGAAGGTGAGAGTTGAATTTAAAAGTGGAGTTTGTTGAATTGCGATTGGAGTTAGAGTTAAGCTACCGGTTGGGCTGGGACCAAGGTTGATGTCAGTTCCGAGTTCAGATTGCGTGGAGTTTGAGAAGTGTCAGGAGCAAAATGTCTCTGTTTTTGCCTTTCACCACCCTCTCTCTGAGCTTCCTGGGAATGGGATGGGAGTTTCCATGTGGGACAGGACCTAGTCACTGAGTGAGGTTCAGACACGAGATGGACTTTCTCACCAGCAAAGTGACCTCCTCTCTGGCCACCCTCACCCTGCTCCTCATCATTGCACCTTCTTGTCCCTCGCTGCCCCTGCGCTCCCCCTGCCCCTCCCAGTTCAGCTGTTGGCTGTATCCTCTCCACTGACCTCTGGACCAACTTTCCCCCTGATGGGAGGTGCTTGCTGAGCAGGACGTTGACTCAGGGGGATGGGCACCTCTTCAAAGCGTCACTGTTGCCTCACATGGCAGTGTCTCCAGCTACAGTAAGTGCTGTGAAGGCAGGACATCACCAAGCACTCAGAGCCATGTCTCACTCTTGGTAGGTGCTTAATAAGCATTTTAAATAAATGAGTGCATTCATTTTTCTTCAGCACAAACAGAATTTTGAAGATTCCCCCCCTCCTCAAAAATCAATGTTTCCTCTAGGGGTCCCGTGCTTAAAGATATGTCCACCTGAATTCTGGCTTTATTTGGAATACAGGTCTGGCAGGTGTAACCGAACTAAGAACCTGGAGAGGAGGTCATCTGGATTAGGGAGAGCCCTAAATCCAATGATATGTGTCTAAGAATCAAACAGGAAGAGAAGGCCGTGTGGAGGTAGAGGCAGAGACTGAAGGGATTCGGCTATCAGCCAAGGACTTCTGGCAGCTACTGGAAGCTGGGGAAGAGCTGGGAAGGACACACTCTTCCCCATGGCCTTTTGAAGTGAGCATGGCCTTGGAAGCACCTTCATTTGGAGCTTCTGGCCTCCAGAACCGTGAGAGAGTAAATGTCTATGGTTTGAAGTTGCCTGCTTTTGTGGCGGTTTGTCATGGAACCTAGGAAATCAGTGAAATTCCTTTATGGGATCTAGTCCTTCTACCCCAGGGAGCTCCATCAACCCACCACAGACCCCTCCCCCTTGCCTGGCCATCTATTCACATGAAATCTAGTCAGATCCCTTCAGACTGCCCCTCTGCCTCATGTTCTGCAAGAGTAACTAAAGAGTCAAGCTGCCTGGTCTGGGATTGGCCTCCGTCAACCCTCCTCCAAAGGGCTGTTACAGGGCTGGAGGCATAACCCAGTGGTAGAGCACTTGTCCAGCATGTATGGTGGCCTAGAGTCTGTCTCCAGTATCACAAAACCAAACCAAACCGTGCTGCTATTGTTTCCTTCCTGAAACCCCACGCTGACTGTGCCTCCCCTTCTGCCCCTGGCCTCTCAGCTCACTTGCTTCCTGGCTGCCTTATGTGAGATCTACCCGTCTACCAGCTGTCTCTGCCCTGGACCCTGGGTCTGTGGAGAGGAGGGTTGAGCATCACAGACTGGGCACCCCAAGGTGGTTAGGGATGCAGGGCTCAGTGAATGATTCTGACCACAGGGACCCCTACTAGCAGAGCACCGGGCCTTGTTCTCTGCCTCTCACACCGAGATTAATCCCCAGAAGCTGTGTTAATGGTCTCCACCGCTTACAGACAGGAGACCACACGGAGTTGCC